TGGGCTGATGGCTCAGAGCCTGGAGCCTGTTTCCGATTCTGTTTCTCCCTCTCTCTCTGCTCCTCCCCCGTTCATGCTGTCTCTCTCTGTCCCAAAAATAAATAAACGTTGAAAAAAAAATTTAAAAAAAATAAATAAAATGTTTTTATTTATTTTTGAGACAGAGAGAGACAGAGCATGAGCAGGGGAGGGGCAGAGAGAGGGATTCAGACACAGAATCTGAAGCGGGCTCCAGGCTCTGAGCTGTCAGCAAAGAGCCCAATGCAGGGCTCAAACTCACGGAGTGTGAAATCATGACCTGAGCTGAAGTTGCACGCTCAACCGACTGAGCCACCCAGGCGCCCCAAGACAAGGGCTATTTTTCCGGGTTTATAAGAAGTACTGCCTGTTCCTGTAAGTCTTCCTAGGCCAAGGTCACTGAGGATGTGGGATTTGTCCCACCTGCACTAGGGAGTCATGGGAGAGCTCTAAGCAGTACAGTTACATGGTCTGAATTACTTTTCTAAATAACAGCAGTTCCCATTCCTTGAGCATTACATTGCAACAAGCTTTGTGGTTTATAGATAGGATTTTAGTGAATCATCACTACAGCCATGTGAGATGGAGATTATAATTATTTTTCAACTGGGAAACAGGCTTAGGAAGGTGAAGTCACTCTCAAATTCAGAGGTACTATGTGAGGGACCTGTTGTCCTCAATACATCGCATTCCAAGAAATGAATGAGCTCATCGCTCTTCACTCCCCACTCTACTCTATTCCACAGACTTACCAATGCAGCCCTCTGGTGCCTGGATGAACAGAGAAGCCCCTGGAACTTCCCAGACCCACTCTTTTTATCCACACGAGTGATTACAGCATTGATGTGATACAGCAAGACAAAGTTGATCACAGTGATCCTTCCTTTCAGTCTGACCCCCATCTCTTAGGGGCCCACAGAACTCCTTGAAGGAGGAGCAGTTACAATAGTCAAATGAATCCCAAATGCTTCTAGCTCAGGCTGAATCCCATTTTCCAGGATGGATTAACTGGTAACATAAAAAATAGGGTGGATTTTGGTGCAGTCTGTGTTGTCTAAGAAACACATGTCAGGTAGGACTAAATCTCCAAGGATTTTATTAGGGGAAATGCCTGTGCCAGAAAATGGGGAAGGCCAGAAGGGCTGTCAGATCATAACACAAATCTGACTTCTAGTGAAGGAGAAGGGAAGGTTGGGTAGAAGCATCTTAGACCGTCCACCATGCAGTCTAAATTGTGTAATGCTGTTGGTGAAATCTGAGTAAGCTTTGTGGACTGTACCAATGTCATTTTCCTGGTATTGATAATATACTACAGTTATGCAAGATGTCACCATTGGGAGAGGCTGAATGAAGGGTACACAGAACTTCTTTGTGCTTTTTTTTTTTTTTTTTGGCAACTTCTGTGCACATGTAATTATTTCAAAAGTAAAAGTAAAAAAAAATACAGCACTAGAAAATGTGATAATTTTTTGCTTTCAGTATGTGTATGTAATCCAAATAACTGAAGAAGAGAAAATTAGTCTATTATATTTAACCAGATATTTTCCAATTCTGTGGCTCTTCCTTTCATTCCTGAAGTTCTAATTTTCCCTTAGTACCATTTCTCTTCAGTCTGAGGAACTTCCTTTAACATTTCTATAGAACAGGACTACTGGCCATAGAGTCTCATAGTTTCCCTTGATCTGAGAATGTCTGTATTTTACCTTTATTCTTGAAGGATGCTTTCTTTGGATATAGATATAGAATTCTAAGTTGACAGGTATTTTAGCACTTTAAAGATTTTATTCCACTGTCAGTCTTCCTTGGTTCTTGATGAGAAATCCATGGGCATTTGATCTCATCTAATTGTCTAATGTATCCATCTTTTCATGTAAAGACTGTATTTCAACAACCTCATTTTTTAAAGTCCCCATACTCTGAATCACAAAGATATCAGCTCAATTCTCTTAATATTACCAAAGTTTCATTTTGGACTAATTCATCTGGAGTATTTTTCTATGGTATACATGTGAATCACTTTTCAGCTGATGTAGAGGTTCCTGGGATTAACTTCATTTGTCCAAGATTGTTACAGCAAGCCGAGGCACCTTGAAAACATTGTTTCCCAGGGAATGAATGAATGCATCAGTATCCCCTTTCTCATATAGGTTTTCCTTCCCAAATGTCAGCACCCCTGATAAACAGAATGGCCCCAGAGAATTCCCAGTCATACCCTCTTATCAATATGGATGATTCCAGCATGAATTTGACACCATCAGATCTAGGGGGTCCCAGTGACTACAACTCTCCTTCACCCTCCCTCCTCCACTGTTACCCTCTTCACAGGGGGCCCTGTAACTGTATTTTACATTTGTTTTAAAACAGTTATTCATTGTTATACCTTCTTTTCAAAAACCTATTCAAAAAAATGTCCCCATGATAAAAGGGGAAGTTATAAATTTCATAATCACAGTCAAGTGCCTTTCACCCATGCTTGACTACATTAAGATAGATAAGCTGAAAACACAAGCTACAGAGCAAGAGAGAATGTTTTTTTCTGAGAGGGAAAGACTGAAGTAAAAAGTGACTGAAAACTCCTTTCCAAAGGCAAGGTATGATTCTGACACCAATTCTTAAGGGTGGGAAAAACCATGTCAACCAGCTGGGTGTCCTAAATTCATCTCAATTCTGATACTATCTACTTAGAGATAGCCTCATTCAGATTCCACAAATTAAGGGCTCAGTCTCACAAGACTGCCCCCACTTCAAATGCCAACCCAAAATCTAGGTTGTCACTTCTGCTTCTGACCAACTGCCTCTATGTCAGAGGTTCCCATGACCCCCTTCTTGGGTTCAATTAATTAATTCCTGAGCTCACAGAACTCAGGAAACCAGTTGGCTTGCTAGATTATTGCCAGTTTATTACAAAGGATAGTAAAGGATACAAATTAACAGCCAGATGACAAGATATATAGGGCAAGGTCCAAAACAAAGGAACTTCTATCTGCTTGGAATTTGTTTGGCCCTGGCTGAGCAGCATGTCATTGCATCTGGTTCACCAACCTGGAAGCTGTCCAAACCATCCCCATTGGGTTTTTATGGAGGCTTCATTGCATAGCCATGATTAATTAAATAATTGTCATTGGTGATTTATTCAACCTCCAAGTCCTCTCCCATCCCCACAAATCAGTGGTAGGGCTAGCAACTTCCAATCCTCTAATCAGGATTTGTTCCCTTGCAAATAGCCCCCTGCCTCCATCTCTAGGGGATTTCCAAAAGTCACCTTATTAGTGTAAACTCAGCTGTGGTTGAAAGGAGCATTTATAAATATCAAGACACCCATTTAACCTTTAAGACTGAAGAACTTTAAAGAACTGAGGACAAGAGACCAAATACTATAACAAAAGATGCCCCCATTGCTGTTATCAATTAGGAAATTTGAAGCTTTTGGGAGCTGTGAGCCAGGAACCATGGACAAAGACTGAAATGTATGTTTATTATAAATCATAATATCACACAGGAATATTGTCATCCACCATTGTGGGAAAATGTGAAAAAACCTCATTTATAGAGTGGTAGTATATAAATGTATACAGATATTTCTTTTCATAAGTTGTATCTTACTGAATTCTGAAATACGTACTTGTTTTTATTCAACAATGTATCCTAGAGATTTTTCTATGTTCATAATATCTACCTTTTAAAAACTATATGACTGTACAAAAATCATTTAAGTTTCTATATACAATGAACAATATGAAAAGGAAATTAATAAAACCATTCCACTTACAATAGCATCAAAAAGAATAAAGTACTAAGGAATAAACCAAGGAAGCAAACCAAACTAAAAACTAAGTAAACTAAAAACTACAAAATGTTGCTGAAAGAAATTAAAGAGTAGATAAATACATGGAAATAAATCCTGTGAGAATGGATTGGAAGTCTTCATATTGTTAAGATATCAATACTACCTAAAGCAATGTATGAATTTAATGCAATATCTATCAAAATCCCAATGGTATGGTTTGCAAAAATATAAAAATCCATCCTTAAATTCACATGGAATCTCAAGGGACCACAAATAGCTAAAAAAAAAAATCTTGAGAAAGAACAAAGTTGGAAACCAAAGACTCATACTCCTGATTTCTAAACAAACTACAGTGATCACAACAGTACTGGCATAAAGACATATATACACCAATAGAAAAGAATAGAAAGCCCAGAAATAGTCTCACATGTATATGGTCAGCTGATTTTTGACAAGGATGCCAAGACCATTGACTGGGGAAAGCAGAATCTCTTCAATAAATGATGTTGGGAAAACTGGATATCCACATGCAAAAGGATGAATATGGGCCCTTACCTTACCCTATAGAAAAATTAACTCAAAATGGATCAAAGATCTAAATGTGAGAGGCAAAACTATAAAAAAACATAGGGGAAAAGCTTCACAACCTTGGATCTGTGATGACTTCTTAGAGATTATACCACAAACAGAGGCAACAAAAGTATAAATACATAGATTAGATAACATAAAAGTGAAAAACTTCTGTGCACCAAAGGACAGAATCAACAGTAGAATGGCAACCTATGGAATGGAGAAAATATTTGCAAATCACATCTCTGATAAGTGGTTAACATCCATAATAGACAAAGAACTCCTATAAAATAATAAATAGGTCATTTCTCCAAGAAGATATACTAATGACCAACAAGCATATGAAAATATTCTCAAAATAGTTAATCATTAGGCAAAAGCAGTTCAAAACCACAAGATATTCCCCTCACACCCATCATGATGGCAACTATCAAAAAACAAACAGAAAATAACAAGTTTTGACAAAAATGTGGAGAAATTGGAATCTTTGTGCCCTGTTGGTGGGAATGTAGAATGGTGCACCCACTATAGAAAGCAGTATGGTGATATCTCAAAAATTAAAAATAGAATTATCATATGATCCAGAAATTTCACGCAAAAGAACTGGAAGCAGGGTAACAGGAGATATTTGTATACACATTTTCATAATAGCATTATTAACAATAGCCAAAAGGTAAAAACAACCCAAGTGTCCAACAGCAGATGCATGGATAAACAAAAAAAAACCCATATGAGGTATATACATACAATGGAATATTATTTAACCTTGAAAAGGAAGGAGATTCTGATACATGCTATAACATGGATGAAACATGAGGACATTATACTACATGAAATAAGCAAGTCACAAAAATACAAAGACTATATGATTCTACTTACATGAGGTATCTAGAGTAGTAGATTCATACAAACAACAGAAAATGGTGGTTGTCAAGAGCTGGGGGAGGGAGGAGTGGGAGTTGTTATTTAATGGGTACAGAGTTTCAGTTTTGTAAGATGAAAACAGTCTGGAGATTGGTTTCACCACAGTGTGAACGTACTTAATGCTACCGAATTATACACTAAACAATGATGTCAATAGTAAATTTTAAATTATGTATGTTTCACCACAATTTAAAAAATAGACATTAGGTACTATTCTAAGCTATGGATATACAAAAGATTATTTCACCAGTTTTCTATTGATAAAATAACATTTTAATTCCCGGTGGTAAATATTCTGGGTTAAATGGTATGAAGTATATTAAAATGAAAGCTATTACTAAATTTCTTTTCAAATTTTGTACCACTTCACACCTCCACTAATAATAAATAGTGGTGTGCATTCCCCCACATTATCAATAAAGTTTGATTTATAGTTAAAGTTTTGGCCAGTCTTGTGGGAGAAAAATAACTCATTGTGTTAATTTACACATTGTGAATCCCTGGTGAAGTTGAGCATTTTTCACCATTTTAAACATTTTTACCATCCTTTCTAGACATTATTTTTTCATGCCTTTGACCCAATTTTATGATGGAATTTTTTTCTCATTATTTTTGAACAATTTTTTTTTTATAAAATAGGGATATGAATCCTTTCATATATATTACAAGTCTCTCTAGTCTGATGCAATTTATTTTAACCATTTAAGGTTTTTGTTCTTTTATTATTTCAATATAAACTTTAAAAAATAAACTTGAATCTATTTGTAATTGCTATTGAATTTTGTGAGTTAGAGTGTAACTTCTTTTTTTTTTTATTTTTTTTTTTTTTAAATTTTTTTTTCAACGTTTATTTATTTTTGGGACAGAGAGAGACAGAGCATGAACGGGGGAGGGGCAGAGAGAGAGGGAGACACAGAATCGGAAACAGGCTCCAGGCTCTGAGCCATCAGCCCAGAGCCTGACGCGGGGCTCGAACTCACAGACGGTGAGATCGTGACCTGGCTGAAGTCGGACGCTTAACCGACTGCGCCACCCAGGCGCCCCTAGAGTGTAACTTCTTACACACTAATGGCAACTTGTTCTATTCCTACTGCCTGGAAATGCCAGTTTTCCATCTATAGTAGTGTTTGTTTTTTCTATATTCTGTTGTAGCTCTAATTTAACCTTTTTGGCACCAAAACTGCCGCATTCCATATGTTACCTATTTAAAGTATGTTAGATGGCAGTCTAGCCCATTCTCTTTCTTTTAAAAATAAAAAATTACATACTTTTAGATAATGTCTTTTCCGAATTTTGGAACCATCTTGTCAAACTCCATTAAAAAAATCTATTAATATATTGATTAGAGACCTTGCCTGCCCCCACCTTGAGCCAGCGGGTCTCCACTCATGTGGCATCAAGTGAGAGCACTGATACTGGCAGAGTGGACCTGGGTAGGGCGATGATGGCCAGGCTCTCACTGGGGCTTCTTCTTCTGTAGCTGCTTCTACCCACACAGATTTATTCAAATCAAAAACCTGTAACACTTTCAAGTAACTCCTCCCAGAATACCTCAACTGCCCCAAATCCAGCTAATGGCATCACCATGACAACTAGCAGTGCTCTGCAGTCAACAGCCAGTCTCTTCATCATCTTGTTACCTTCTACATCTCTACGGTTAAGAGACTCAGGCCAAGAAACATCTATACTTCCCCATCTTCTAAACCCAATCCAAATGGTGTCTAGACAGCCAGTGTGACAAAGAAAACAGGTCCTTGTTGAATCTGCTAATTCCACACTTTATTTTATTGACACAGAAAATGTTGAGGATCCCAAGTTTTACTGGTTTGAAGAACATATGAAGAGTCTATTGTCTGGATGATGAATGTCTATTAAATCTACTGGAGTTGCATGTACAAGATGAAGAGACAACATCCAAGATTAGTTAAGGTATGATTTCTTTAAAGGTGCCTTAAGAAGTATGGACAGGTAAATTCTACCTTGAAAATGAGAATAGATTTTATCTTACCTGGATATAAAGGATGGAATGTCAACAGAATCAGTTTTCATTTGGTTCTTTAAATCTTTAAGGCCATAAAACAGTTAATACAAAAAGCTTCCATAATGCTATTTATATGTACATGGAAGAAACTTCCAGGTGTTGCCGTAAATCCTCAATGTATTGTCTCAGCAGTACTGATTTAATGCCAGTGTAGTCTAGATAAAGTTTTACATTGTTGAGCTATCACTGTTTTTTGGGAACTGAACTCTTTTCCCTGAGGCTTTGGATTTGACATTGCATTTGATTTTTTATATAGTATTTGACATGTGCCAAGGCAATGATAGATTGGAATCTACCCCAGATTGAAGCATAATGAGCAAATTTTGCTTATATACATATCACCCATTCCTATTCAACAAGAGTGCTAGATTCGTTTATCTAAACTGATTCCAAAAAGTAGGAGTACATTGACCTCAACTAATTTCAAAATGCTTTTATTTCTGCTTATGTTGAATACTTTTTGCAATTAAAAAAATCTGTTGTGAAGGTAAAATTAACAAATCTTGAAATTAAAAAGACAAAATATGTGCAGGAGCCAAAATTATAAATCAAGTATTTGGGAAGTGAAGACTAGAAGCTTACTTACAATAAATTCAGGAAAACTTTTATACTCTTTTTGTAAATACTTTTTTTTTTTTAACTCTGAATCAGAATAATCACATTTGGAAAACTTTCTGTTCGCCAATATTTTTAGATGGTTAGAACTTCATTCTAAGCCCAAAGAAGGCTTGATTCTGGAAAGTACATCTTTTCACAACTGCCCAGATGCACAGAAAGCTTTTTAAAAATAGACATTCTAAAATATTTTGTTCACATGGTCACCCACTGAGGCTCATCAGAACAAGTTCCCTCCTTAATGCCCATCACCTATCTAACCCATCTGCCCACTCATCTCCCCACTGATGCTTAAATGTTCCAATATCTAATATGGCCACAATAGTCTTGATGACCAAAGTCATTTTTTCCCAACTTTAGGAACCCACGCCATAACAACCATTTCCAACAGATCTCAAGCTACTGTGTTTGAATGAACATTCCTTTTTGTTTCATGCCTGAATGTTGTCTACCTACTTTGGATTGTATATTGTGTGTGTATATCTATGCTTTGATTCATAGTAACTTCTCATATTATGGAATTGATTTGCATTGAACAAGAACTGCAAATTTAAAAAATGGCTGAAAGAACAAAAAAAGATATTGATTAGGATTAAACTGAAGTTATAGAACTATTTGGAAGAGGAGATTGACATTTTTGTAATATTTACTCATTTATCTCAAGAACATAATATGCCTTTTTTGTTTCAATTTTTTATTTAAATTCCAGTTAGTTAACATATGGTGTAATATTAGTTTCAGGAGTAGAATTTAGTGATTCATCACTTACATGTAACACCCATTGCTCATCACAACAAGTGCCCTCCTTAATGCCCATCACCTATCTAACCCATCTGCCCACCCACCACCCCTCCAGCAACCCTCAGTTTGTTCTCTATAGTTGAGAGTCTGTTTTATGGTTTGCCTCTCTCACTTCCCCCCCATGTTCATCTATTTCTTAAATTCCACATATGAGTACAATGATCATTTATGCCCTTTACACAGCTTTATAATTTATTTCATATAGTTTTTAGACATTTCATTTAGATATATTCTTAGGCATTCTATATATTTTGAGGATCTAACATATAGGAACTTTTAAAATGTAATGTTGACCTTACATTTCTTATTTGCTTTAAAACACTTAATGGTTGCATCACAATCTTATATTCTTCCAATGTGTTGAAGTGTTTTACACAGTATTATATTTTGTTTTTTTTTTTTTCCAGTGGAATTTTAAAGATGAACTTTTTGGTGTTTTGCAAATATGACACTTTTGCTTTTTTGTTGTGCTACTTATTTCTTATTCATATTTTGTTTCATTTGCTAGGTACACTATTGCAATGCTGCACAGTACCTACATTAGAGGACATTTTTGCCTCTTATTTACTTTAATAGTAATGGTCTTGATGTCTCTTATTAAGTATTTATCATTTTTTAAAAAATATATTTATTTTTGAGAGACACAGAGTGCATATGCAAGGGAGGAGTAGTGGGGGGAGAGAATCTGAATTGGGCTCTGTGCTGACAGCAGACAGCCTGATAAGGGGTTTGAACTCACAAACTGTGAGATCATGACCTGAGCCAAAGTCAGATGCTTAACCAACTGAGCCATGCAGGTGCCCCAAGTATTTATCCATTTTGATATAGAAACTCTTTTGGTTAAGGAAATACCTTCTATTCCTACCTTGACCAACATTTTATCAGAAATGACTGTCTAATTTTTTAAAATTTTATGTCATCTTTTTATATGATCATGAAAATTTTCTGTTAATGTAGTTGGTTGTCTCAATAAAAATGTATGCCTTAAAATACAGAAAAGAACAATGAATATTATAGCAAATACCTATAATGTCACCACAAAAAAGAAAAAAAACCTGTTAACATATAATCACATTTTTCCAGTTGCTTTTTCCAACTTTATGCTCAAGGTAAATCACATAAGAAATATATAACTTAGTCTGATTTATTTAAAAAGTGATAGTGATTAAGCCAAAGCACTTACTTAACAATCATTCTTAACTGTTCTATCCCAACTCTTTCTTCTCTGAGGCAGTCACTAGTATAGGTTTGGTATAATTTTTGTAGTTTACTTTTTATGTGTTAATAAACTATAATTTTGTGAGTTTTTTAAAAAGTATAGTTCCTATATCATAGTATATAAGCAAATAATAAACATTAGTAATATAGTTTTTTTTAATTTGTTTTCTATGAAACTATTGTAATTGGTAATATTTTCCTAACTTACACCTGATATGCTGAAGGAGTTAATTATTATAAGATCAGTAGGTGCAGAGGCAGTGATTTGATTATCAGAAAAGTGTTAGGGTTGTTACATATCCTATGTTAAATATAGTTTATAACTTCAATTAAAGAGACTTCATTTTCAATGACAAATATTCTTCTTCTATTTTTTTTTTTTGTTTCTTTATTTTTGAGAGAGACAAAGAGGTTGAGTGGGAAAGGGGCAGAGAGAGAGAGAGAGAAACACATAATCCGAAGCAGGGTCCAGGATCCAAGCTGTCAGCACAGAGCCCTATGCAGGGCTCGAACTCAAAAATGGTGAGATCATGACCTGAGCTGAAATCAGACACTTAACTGACTGAGCCACCCAGGTATCCCATCAATGACAAATATTCTAAAATAATAAAAATTTAAAAAGAAAACACTTCTGTTGTGTATATTATGTGCCATGCATTATGCTAGTGTTTTGTGTGTATTAATGCCTGACATTAATACATCTGTGTAACATTTACAAACCCTATTATAAAATAGCATTATTAGCATCACCTATTTATGACTTATGAGCTGAAGTAAAGAGTTTAAGTCACCCATTTCTATCACATTCCTAGATAATTAGTTTCTGAGGAAAATTTCCACCATTAAACAAACGTAAGATTACTGAATCTCCACTCCATTTCCTCCAGTTGTTCACCTTGGCAAACATAGTTCCTGCCCATAATAGTTCCATCTCAGAGTGGATCTCTCTTCTTTTGGAAAAAAAATGATTGCTAAAGATTGAATTTTACTTGCTTATTTTTAACATATAAAAATTTCAATTATAAACAAAAACAGAGAATAGTATAATGAATTCCCATGAGTCCATCATTAAGTCTTAGCAAATATATATCTCATTTAGTATGTTTTTGAGTTTCATCCATGTTGTAAAATGTATCAGCAATCCATTATTTTTTTTTGTTGATGAATGATATTCCATCATATAGATATAACACATTTGTATATCCATTCAACAACAAGGAGATTTAGATTGTTATCAGATTTTGGCAACTATGAACAATGGGGCTATGAATAGTTGTGCATATATCTCTGAATGCATGAATGTTCACATTTCTCTTGGGTAGATTCCTAGGAGTGAAATTGCTGGGTTGTATGGTAAGATTATGTTAAACTTTCTTTTAAAGAAAATGCCAAACTGTTTTCCAAAGTAGCTGTATCATTTAATAGTTCCACCAGTAATCTCCAATTGCTATATGAGAGTTCTAATTTCTCCATATTCCTTCACATGACCATTTATATATCTTTGGTGAAATGCTTATTCAAACCTTTTAATTCTAATTAAATTAAATTCTAAGATTTTTAATTGGAATGTTTTTCTTCATTTTTGAGATGTGTTTGTTAGATATTCCAGATGCAAGTTCTTAACCAGATATACATTTCCTTCTGTCTGAAGAATGGCCTTTAACATATCCTATAGTGAAAGTCTGTTGTTGATGGATTCTTTCAGCTTTTATATGTGCAAAAGCATCTTTTCTCAGAATGGTCTTCTGAACTTTCCAATGTATACGTGTTGATGTTTTGAGGCTTCTCCTCTTCTTAAGCCCTGATGATTCCCCGCTGTCTTTCTTCTGCATCTCTGCATCTTCCCATGGATAAGTGGCAAGTCACAATCAAAGCTCCAAGACTCATTTGAGAAACACAAATAATAGGTATCAGAAGAGACTAGTTATTGCACCAAGATAAGGGCACAAAGCTTAGATGCAAAAATATTGCTACAGTTTTACTAAAAAGAATATTTCAAATAAACACATGCATCAATAATGATATGAGTATATAAAAAGCGAAAAACACGCACAAAGATTAATCTTTTCCTTCTTTTTATCACCTATAAGTTTTTTTCTTCGTTTAATTTACTTTTATATGTTGTGTGTTTGCATACACAGATAAGAAACGCAAAGCCTTTACCTTTACTTTTAATGCATAATTAAATCAGACAATCTATATGTAATACAGAAATAACATGTTATAGTTTTTACATGTGCACATGTGCAAGTAGGGGAGGGGCAGACAGAGGGAGAGAGAGAATCCCAAGCAGGCTCTGTACTGCCAGAACGGAGTCCCATGTGGGGCTCAAACTCACGAACCGCAAACCATGACCTGAGTAGAAACCAACAGCCTGACGCTCAGCTGACTGAACCACTTAGGCACCCTCAGAATTTAACATCTTAACCTGTAACAATACTTTGCTAGACCATGTACAGTCCAATGAGATAATTTACATTCGTTTGTTCATATTAAGACTTTGAAATCCAATGAATACTTTATACTTGACAGCATATCTCAACCTAGATGCTAAATTTTCATCATAAATACTTAATATGCTTTTAGAGTTCATAAAATTGAATTTAAAAAGTAGACCAAAGGGGTGCCTGGGTAGCTCCGTCGGTTAAGCATGCGACTTTGGCTCAGGTCATGATCTCAAGTTTCAGGCGTTCAAGCCTTGTGTTGGCTCTGTGCTGACAGCACAGAGCCTGGAACCTGCTTTGGATTATGTATCTCCCTCTCTCTCTCTGCCTCTCCCCCACTCGTGCTCTGTCTCTCTGTCTCTCAAAAATAAATAAATGTTAAAAAAATTTAAAAAGTAGACCCAAGTTGCTCTAAATACACTAAAAAAGTTACCAGTAACTGGATTGAGTATCTGTTTTTAAATTTAAATTAGGGGCGCCTGGGTGGCGCAGTCGGTTAAGCGTCCGACTTCAACCAGGTCACGATCTCGCGGTCCGTGAGTTCGAGCCCCGCGTCGGGCTCTGGGCTGATGGCTCAGAGCCTGGAGCCTGTTTCTGATTCTGTGTCTCCCTCTCTCTCTGCCCCTACCCCATTCATGCTCTGTCTCTCTCTGTCCCAAAAATAAATAAACTTTGAAAAAAAAAAATAAAAAAAAATAAAAAAAAATAAATAAATTTAAATTAAAATTTAATAAAATTAAAAATTCAGTAACTCAGTGGAACTAGCCACATATCATGTGCTTTACTGCCATGATGGGTAGTGGCTACTGTATTGAACAAAACAGCTCTAGAGAGCTAAGGAACAAAGTTGTTTTCAATTTTGTACTGTGTCCGTACATAACTTACCCAAATAAATAAACCGTTTTCCTGTTTTAAAGCCAAATAGTAACTAGAAGTTTGTAGAGATCAAGAATGCACCCCTAAAGGATGAATGTGGAGGCAAAACAGTTATCTTAATAGTATATTCTTGTAACCTAGAACAAAATTCCCAGTAATAGCATTCCAAAAACACATTCTGAAAGTGCTGTATCACATACAACTTCATTGGAAGTAAGATTGTGCGCTCAGTAAAACTATACAGCTTAATGAAAAGAGTAATCTCAGAGTGTTGATGAAGATATCAACTACCTAAGTTTGAATAGAATAATTTTATAAAATATGAGTAGAAAAATCAATATAAATTAATATTTTACATATTTGATTTCAAATACATATATATGAATCTCAAAAATAAATGAGATACTGTAAGTATAGAATATATACATATAAATATGTGATTATATTAAATATATTTCATATAGGTTATTTACATCTATGTTCCTAAGTAGCATAGTCTGTAGCTTTGTTTATAGAATTTGTTCTTGAGGCACCTGGGCGGCTCAGTTGGTTGAGCGTCCAACTTCAGCTCACGTCATGATCTCACAGCTCATGAGTTCTAGCGCTGCGTCAGGCTCTGTGCTTTGACAGTGCAGAGCCTGGAGCCTGTTTCTGATTCTGTGTCTCCCTCTCTCTCTGCCCCTGTCCCACTTGTGTGCTGTTCTCTGCCTCTCTCAAAAATAAATAAACATTAATTTAAAAAAAACTTACGGTGTTTATTCTTGCCTGGGTTTAGTACTGGTGTTATGGACTTCAAATATAAGAAGTGAAGTTCAAGTGAAAACCATTCCTTCTTTTATTGAAATGGGCATATAACAGCATTGCCTTGAATTCCATATAGCACAGAATTGTCTTGAATTCCATAATATATCTTATGTTTTTGTGTAGTTTTTAGTTTATTCAGGTTCTGCAGTTATTGTTTTTAGTAAATTATGGTAATTGTATTTTCTTAGAAATTTTCCTTTCTCTCAATTGCCATTTTAAAAAAATACTCTATAACTTTTTGATTGCCAGCATGAATTTAGTAATATCTTATTTCTTATGAACTTTTTCCCAGGGCAATGATTAGAGCTTCAGAAATCCCGGAAAAGAAAAACCCTATTTACCAGACAAGATGGATCAAGTTCCAAAATAAATAAGCAAAGAGAGAAAGCCCACTTTGAAGAGTGTGTTATATTCAGGTGCAGGGAGATGCACCTTCTTCCTAGTTTTTAAAGGAAACAAAAGTGTGAAAAAGAAGAGGGAAACCATTGTCCACTATCCTGAGGTTAGGTAGGGTAGACAGAGTACCAGAGAAAGGGGTTTTCTGTTTTCAGTTCAGGGCAAACTGACACTCAAAGGAGTCATGTCCCAGAGTGAACAAACTGGATAGAGAGAAAGTTAAGAGGTAACTTTTCCCAGAGGAAAAAACTAAATCTCAGAAAACAGAGGACAAAGCACTGTTACACAGGGTTCAGCCACCCAGAGTCAAGACCTGGGACCTTTATCTCCTAAAGTCCAAGCCGTGTTGAAGGAAGTCATGGAAAATTCACAGTTGTGGTTTCTTGGGAGTTTTTGGGAAAGGAAGTGGTGTAATGGAAGAAGTACCAAAAACGCACCTCATTTGCCCACACACAGCATGAAGAGTTGGAGACTCTGTTTATCCACACCATGTTTCCAGATTAAAATCCCCAGGAGGAATCACCTTTGAAACTCAACTTACCCAAGTCAATAGTAAAGGTATATCTGATCCCCTGAAGTGTGCTTGGTACCTTCATCCAAACCACAGTCTGGAAATTTCTGTCATAACATAATAATATTTCAATATTGAATACATACTGTGCACTAGTACTGAACTGGGCACATCGCATATGTTGGCCTTGCTATCATCCAGTTTAAAAGATGAGGAAAACTGAGGTTCAGGGGCAAAGTGATTGGATCACAGATATAAGAATAAGCAGTATAACTGGAATTAGGTGGAGGGAAGATGGCGGCGTAGGAGGACGCTGGGCTCACCGCGCGTCCTGCTGATCACTTAGATTCCACCTACACCTGCCTAAATAACCCAGAAAACCACCAGAGGATTAGCAGAACGGAGTCGCCGGAGCCAAGCGCTGACGAGAGGCCCACGGAAGAGGGTAGGAAGGGCGGCGAGGCGGTGCGCGCTCCACGGACTGGCGGGAGGGAGCCGGGGCAGAGGGGCGGCTCACCGGCCAAGCAGAGCCCCCAAGTCTGGCTTGCAAAAAGCGGAGGGGCCTGACGGACTGTGTTCCGACAGCAAGCGCGACTTAGCGGCCGGGAGGTCATAAGTTAACAGCTCTGCTCAGAAAGCGGGAAGGCTGGAGGACAAAGGGAAGGAAAGCTGCTGAGCCCCCGGACGACAGAGCTCAGTTTGGTGGGGAACAAAGGCGCTCGCCAGCGCCATCTCCCCCGCCCATCCCCAGGCCAAAATCCCAAAGAGAACCAGTTCCTGCCAGGGAAATTGCTCGCTCCGCGCAAACACCCAACTCTGCGCTTCTGCGGAGCCAAACCTCCGGCAGCGGATCTGACTCCCTCCTGCTGCCACAGGGCCCCTCCTGAAGTGGATCACCTAAGGAGAAGCAAGCTAAGCCTGCCCCTCCTGCCCCTGTGCACCTTGCCTACCCACCCCAGCTAAGACACGAATCCCCAGCATCACAAGCCTGGCAGTGTGCAAGTAGCCCAGACAGGCCACCCCACCCCACAGTGAATCCCGCCCCTAGGAGAGGGGAAGAGAAGGCACGCACCAGTCTGACTGTGGCCCCAGCGGTGGGCTGGGGGCAGACATCAGGTCTGACTGCGGCTCCGCCCACCAACTCCAGTTAGACACCACAGCACAGGGGAAGTGCCCTGCAGGTCCTCACCATGCCAGGGACTATCCAAAATGACCAAGTGGAAGAATTCCCCTCAGAAGAATCTCCAGGAAATAACAACAGCTAATGAGCTGATCAAAAAGGATTTAAATAATATAACAGAAAGTGAATTTAGAATAATAGTCATAAAATTAATCGCTGGGCTTGAAAACAGTATAGCTGACAGCAGAGAATCTCTTGCTACAGAGATCAAGGGACTAAGGAACAGTCACGAGGAGCTGAAAAACGCTTTAAATGAAATGCATAACAAAATGGAAACCACCACAGCTCGGATTGAAGAGGCAGAGGAGAGAATAGGTGAACTAGAAGATAAAGTTATGGAAAAAGAGGAAGCTGAGAAAAAGAGAGAGAAAAAAATCCAGGAGTATGAGGGGAAAATTAGAGAACTAAGGGAAACACTAAAAAGAAATAATATACGCATAATTGGTATCCCAGAGGAGGAAGAGAGAGGGAAAGGTGCTGAAGGGGTACTTGAAGAAATCATAGCTGAGAACTTCCCTGAACTGGGGAAGGAAAAAGGCATTGAAATCCAAGAGGCACAGAGAACTCCCTTCAGACGTAACTTGAACCGATCTTCTGCACGACATATCATAGTGAAACTGGCAAAATACAAGGATAAAGAGAAAATTCTGAAAGCAGCAAGGGGTAAACGTGCCCTCACATATAAAGGGAGACCTATAAGACTCGTGACTGATCTCTCTTTTGAAACTTGGCAGGCCAGAAAGAGTTGGCACGTATTTTCAGTGTGCTAGACAGAAAAAATATGCAGGCAAGAATCCTTTATCCAGCAAGCCTGTCATTTAGAATAGAAAGAGAGATAAAGGTCTTCCCAAACAAACAAAAACTGAAGGAATTTGTCACCACTAAACCAGCCCTACAAGAGATCCTAAGGGGGACCCTGTGAGACAAAGTACCAGAGACATCACTACAAGCATAAAACATACAGACATCACAATGACTCTAAACCCATATCTTTCTATAATAACACTGAATGTAAATGGATTAAATGCGCCAACCAAAAGACATAGGGTATCAGAATGGATAAAAAAACAAGACCCATCTATTTGCTGTCTACAAGAGACTCATTTTAGACCTGAGGACACCTTTAGATTGAGAGTGAGGGGATGGAGAACTATTTATCATGCTACTGGAAGCCAAAAGAAAGCTGGAGTAGCCATACTTCTATCAGACAAACTAGACTTTCAATTAAAGGCTGTAACAAGAGATGAAGAAGGACATTATATAATAGTGACAGGGTCTATCCATCAGGAAGAGCTAACAATTATAAATGTCTATGCGCCGAATACCGGAGCGCCCAAATATATAAAACAATTACTCATAAACACAAGCAACCTTATTGATAAGAATGTGGTGATTGCAGGGGACTTTAACACCCCACTTACAGAAATGGATAGATCATCTAGACACACGGTCAATAAAGAAACAAGGGCCCTGAATGAGACATTGGATCAGATGGACTTGACAGATATATTGAGAACTCTGCATCCCAAAGCAACAGAATATACTTTCTTCTCGAGTGCACATGGAACATTCTCCAAGATAGATCATATACTGGGTCACAAAACAGCCCTTCATAAGTTTACAAGAATTGAAATCATACCATGCATACTTTCAGACCACAATGCTATGAAGCTTGAAATCAACCACAGAAAAAAGTCTGGAAAACCTCCAAAAGCATGGAGGTTAAAGAACACCCTACTAACGAATGAGTGGGTCAACCAGGCAATTCGAGAAGAAATTAAAAAATATATGGAAACAAACGAAAATGAAAATACAACAATCCAAATGCTTTGGGACGCAGCGAAGGCAGTCCTGAGAGGAAAATACATTGCAATCCAGGCCTATCTCAAGAAACAAGAAAAATCCCAAATACAAAATCTAACAGCACACCTAAAGGAAATAGAAGCAGAACAGCAAAGGCAGCCTAAACCCAGCAGAAGAAGAGAAATAATAAAGATCAGAGCAGAAATAAACAATATAGAATCTAAAAAAAGTGTAGAGCAGATCAACGAAACCAAGAGTTGGTTTTTTGAAAAAATAAACAAAATTGACAAACCTCTAGCCAGGCTTCTCAAAAAGAAACGGGAGATGACCCAAATAGATAAAATCATGAATGAAAATGGAATTATTACAACCAATCCCTCAAAGATACAAACAATTATCAGGGAATACTATGAAAAATTATATGCCAACAAATTGGACAACCTGGAAGAAATGGACAAATTCCTGAACACCCACACTCTTCCAAAACTCAATCAGGAGGAAATAGAAAGCTTGAACAGACCCATCACCAGCGAAGAAATTGAATCGGTTATCAAAAATCTCCCAACAAATAAAAGTCCAGGACCAGATGGCTTCCCAGGGGAGTTCTACCAGACGTTTAAAGCAGAGATAATACCTATCCTTCTCAAGCTATTCCAAGAAATAGAAAGGGAAGGAAAACTTCCAGACTCATTCTAAGAAGCCAGTATTACTTTGATTCCTAAACCAGACAGAGACCCAGTAAAAAAAGAGAACTACAGGCCAATATCCCTGATGAATATGGATGCAAAAATTCTCAATAAGATACTAGCAAATCGAATTCAACGGCATATAAAAAGAATTATTCACCATGATCAAGTGGGATTCATTCCTGGGATGCAGGGCTGGACAACATTCGCAAATCAATCAACGTGATACATCACATTAACAAAAAAAAAGAGAAAAACCATATAATCCTGTCAATCGATGCAGAAAAGGCCTTTGACAAAATCCAGCACCCTTTCTTTTTTTTTTTTTTTAATTTTTTTTTTCAACGTTTATTTATTTTTGGGACAGAGAGAGACAGAG